TGAATTTCCCGGACACCTGCGAGCACCAAAGGCTATTTTTTAGACCGTGCGCACCCGATCCAATTTTGTACATAGTTATAACACCTGCAGGGCTTCATTCAGTACTGGCTCATGCAGAAAACATCTTCAAGACTGACAGCCTCCTTCTTTGAGACACTCTTATTCGGATCTGCATTTAAAGAATATGAAAGTGTGCACAAAAGACACATTTGGTACACGTTCATTGCAAAACCTTTCAGTGAAGTTTCAATGAAAACCTCAGGCTTCATCTCCCAACAATGCATACAGCACAGAGAGCAAAGTTTAAGCGTACTGAACAGAATAGGCCAATGTGCATAAAACCATGCTTCCTGTTATTAACAGATAGTACACTCTTTATTTTTTCAGCAGGTAAAACTAATATCTGCAACCATCTCCCCCCCACCACCCCGGTGCGGTTATTATGAAGCAGCTCGCAGTGCGTGATTGGATTGTATGAGAAATTAATTGGACTTCTTACTTCTTTGATAAACCAGTGCAGGGAGAGGAGGATTCTTCTGTTCGAGGGTTCTCTAAGTTGGAGGTATTCAGAAGTTCATTTTGTTTTAAAGACATTAGCAGATGAGGAGGAAATAGCGACAAGGCGAGGGGAGATAGCGACTTAATGAAAGTTTCCTTTCATGCCCCCAGGATTCACAGAGACAACTATTAACGAGAGGGAGGAGGATGAGCGGGAGGACGCGCGAAAGAGTGAGAACTCTAAATGTGCTCGAGAAAGTTTAACAGCTATTGTGTGCATATGTGGTGCCAGAGTAGACCGTGAGACGTGCTGATGAAATAAATTAAATCAATAAGTCTCAACCCTTTTTAAGCCACAGCAAAAACAACCCCCAAAACTGTCAAACTCACTTCTAATTTACTAACTTCCTTCATGTGGGATTTCATTAACTGTGGCATATGGTTAAAACAACTATGGGGCAAAAGTGTGATATGATACATTTTATAATGAGTCATGTTATGACTGCAGAATTATCATAAACAAGCAAGAACATCAAAGGGAAAATTGCCTCTCTCCTGGCCTCTAAACTGGATACGCTCTGCATGCAGGTTGCGTTACCTTAATGACTCTGTGAGGCTATTTTTCTATTACATTAGCCTCAGCTATACTCTGGCTAGTGCCATTTAGCAAATGACAGTATGCTGAACTAGGACTGTTTTCTTGGTAAACAATAAACAAGCCTAAACCTTAGTGGCTTAGCTCAAAGCAATGCTGCTATTATGTATGATACATACTATATAATGAATACAATTGGGATTTGTGAAGAGGGACTTAGCCAGGCTGAAGCTCACTGACCATATGGCAGACTGTTGAACGCTAAGTAGCTAGAATGAAAATGTGAACTGTGTCAGTGTTGATTGCCCAAAGCAGCAAGACACTTAATGGAAGAGAAGTTGCACTTGAATTTTGTAAAAGTGAGTTTACAACATTCAAGTAAGCAACTAAATTCTATTTACCTCCATTGTCACTTAATATCAGAGTCAGACAGTTGAAATGAAATCTATATGTCTAAATAGACAGATACCACTGATGTGACACTAGCACCTAATATTTACATTTTGTTCTTACTTTGTTTGTAGAGCACAATTTTTAAACAAATACGGAGATGAACACGTCAATTCTGTCAAATGTGTGACCACTGTACCTATCTGAGCTCATTTTTCTTAGTTTGAATATTTTTATATTTATCTAAAAAAAGAAAAAAAAGTAACAACATCAGCCACATGAACAACCAATTTGGTGTTAAAATATGTATTCACGTTGCTTTGTCTTGTACTTTTAAAAGAAATATAGAAAAGCAAAAATAATATTTTTATTTTAGGAGGTAGCAAGAAGTAACATTATGCAATGATGTGAAGATGGATTTGTTGATAGGAAGTGATTATAATGAAAATAGAATAGTTTAGAGATCCATCTAAACCATCCATCCTGTTCTGCTTATCCAGTTCAGGGCTGCCCGGGGCCTGGAACACATCCCAGCGGTCATAAATGTTGCTTAACCTTAATTAAATGGTGAACTATGAATATTATCTGCTTCATTTAATTCTTTGTGAACTGTGAATAAGCCCTTGTTATGTGTCAACTTACACAACACTGGCCTCTAGGTTTGGAAAGTGAAGCCAGAATGGAAATGTACAAAACCTGAAGAAGAAGGAGGAGGAGGAGGAGGAAAAGGCCACTAAGTCAGCTCTGCTAGCTCCAAACGAAGTCCCATTGTACTGAGGTCTGTGAGAAAAAGGTCCTACTGCTCACTAGATTGATACTCTGTAGTTACTTTTCTAAGAACTTTCTGGTCTTGATTGCTAGTTTCAAGTCTCCTTTAATAGAGAATCATAATCATTTTATCAATTACTATCAAATTGAGAACAAAATAAATGATAAATAACTGCATGTTTTTCCTTGGGATAGACAAGTACATATGAACAGAGCGTCCTGGAGGTTTCAGAGAGATTAGCTCTTGCAACATTGTTTCTCTCTCTGAAAGACGTTGACATCCAAATCAAATCTAAAGTCTTCGAAATGTTAGTCCACAAACCAAAGGTTGACGTCACATTGGCTACAAATTACTTTTACTTATAATGAAGTTATGCTGATTAATAGTGTTCCTTAAAGCTCAGTGTCAATCCTAACACGATCAATCAAACTGGCAGTACTAACATACCAATGTTTATAATGTTGGCCATGTTAACAACATTAACATAGTCAAAGGTGATGCTACAGTATTCCCAGTAGTTTTCAGGTACTGCTCAGAAATCTAATTATCACAGTAGTATAACACTTTTAATACTCTCAAACTATTTGATTCAACGTATAAACAAATACTCTACATACACTATAACTGCTTGATTGGTTGAAAAGAAAGAGGGAATGAGGGCAAAAAATTCCAGCCGTGCTTAGTTTTTCTCGCAGCCACTTTAACTTTTGCTCATCTGAACAGCGCCTGAGAAAGTACAGTGAACATCACTGTTAATGTCATTAGCAGAAGCCATACTACTGTAGCAGTGAGGTCTGTGAAATATCCAGATTGGTCAGATGTCTTTTTTTTAAAAAAAGAAAAAAACAGAACAGAACAAATTAAAAACAAAAGGAGAAAATGTAGAGTGAGAAAAACAGACCAATAGCCATGACAGATACTCAATAGAAACTCTGTCTAAATTCCTCCAGATGGGGCCTCACGCACACCATGCTCTGTCAGGAGACTGATGGATGACCTGTTTCATGCTATCTCTCCAATCAAGGACCAGTGATCTGTCTGATTAAATTACCCAGGGTGCTGCATCTGGATGTCCAGCCTCAGCTGTGTGCCTCCTGAATCAAATGTCCTCACTGGGTGAGCGTGGGGGTTTTGTGAATCGAGATGACCTGTCTGACTCCGAGACAGCATCCATGATCAACAGACAGCTGCCTCTGTCTTCACGCAACACACACACACACACACACACGCGCACAACCCTGGAGGAAGCTCATATTTCTCTAGCCATCACATCTATTGTTTTTATTATTAACTAATTGTGGAATTTTCATGTGTGGAAATGTTCCATTCCTCGAAGGAATCATATGAAAGGGCAGATGCCAAACATTTATTCAGTCCCTAAATTCATTAAGATATTACATGGATATTAACTAGTATGTGGATTCTCTAAATTAAATGGGGTTAATTAAAGGTTAGGTGTTTTTTTTGTTTGTTTTTCATAGAGGGATTTCTAGTATAGCCAAGCACTAATTGGTTACAGTTTACACCCACAAAACCATGGTTGTTTGCAAATCACTGGGTGAATATGATGTGTGTTAGTAAATCCCCAACAGCTCCTACTCCCCTTTAAACCTTTTTGCCGCTGCCAGTAAATCCCAGTATCTTACCGGGAGCCTTCTATTTTTAACGCAAGACACAGACCACCATGGATTAAACTAAGAAAAAAATATCCCAGTGGATGATTAATAGAGGTATAATCCAGGCTAGAGGCTTCATAACTCTCTGTGCGAGAGGTCCATACCTCATCAAAAAGGTGAGCTGAGGATAAGCTCAGAGTACAAGTTCCCTGGTCTATCACACGTATTCCAACGTTAGCGCCTCACCTGCTCTAGTTTCCAGTGGAACTCGGCCGGCCGGAAGGTGTCTACCTGGGTGAAGTCTCTCCTCAGCAGAAACACCAGGCGGCAATTATGGACATACAGCGAGTAGTGATGACGGTTCATCTCTGTGGGAGGTAAAAAGAGGAGTAGACACCAGGGACCAAATCACCTCACCTACTCACAGCTGACAGGTAAAGCAAGCCTGACAGGTGGCTATCGCAAATCTGGGACAGCAGCACTTTTCTGAAGGAGGTGAGTTTGCAGGCAGATAGTCTTTCACTGGAA